GCGACTTTACTTTATGTGACGCCATATAATTTGGTAGATGTATAGCAACGTTGTCGGAGAACCTTTTCTCTCTTTAGGACAGAAAATATTTTGTCTTCATAATTGATCAGAATTGGAGAAAAATGCACAATGAGAATCTTTATAACTTGTGCTCTTCTCCAAGTATAATTACACTGATCAAGTCAAGGAGGATGTGATGGGCAGGGCATGTAGCATGAACGGGGGGACTCGAGGAATGCGTACAGGATATTGGTGGGAAAGCCAGAAGGAAAGAGACCACTGGGAAGACCTAGGTGTAGGTGAGTGGACAATAATAAATGGATCTTAGAGACACAGGATTTGATGGTATGGATTGGATTGATTTGGCTCAGGTTAGGGTCCGGTGGAGGGCTCTTGTGAACACGGTAATGAACCTTCGGGTTCCATAAAATGCTGGGAAATTCTTGAGTAGCTGCAGAATTGGCGGCTCCTCCAGGAGGGCTCAGCTCAATGCGTAAGCAATTAATTGATCAGAACTGGGAAAGACACTTTTTGATATAAAAAGAAATATAGAATGTTCTCTAATAGTATATCGGTCAATGTAGTCTTGATTGTTCACATGTCACGCTCTCCATTCTTCCATTTTTTAATTAATTCTGGAGCGATGAATTCTTGTTATATTTAATAGGGCATACTGAATGACGAAATGGTCGATCTCAAATTTGACAGGAAAATACTCACATTTATGGCGGGGCCAGAATTAGAACCCTATTTTCAAGTGTTCGAAAGTTTCAATGCTTAAGTGGTAGGGTTTTTTTCGTACTAGTTTTCCTTCTTTTGGCTTTCCTAACTTCAAGGTTTTGTTCTCTTCTTCCCCCAACTGTAACATATTTTATAAATTTCCAATTTGTTCTACTAATTTCCACGCCTCGAGATGGGAGTATAATAGTAGTTATAATGGCTGTACCATAACCGAACATCGACCTGCGAGGTGTGTGGTCCCCTGCGTCTTTGTTCTCCTCCAAAGTGACCTACGAGGAAAAAAGAAAACGAAAAAGAGCAAAAATAACTGCCTCAGTCCACTGACTTACAACGCCTTCTAAGCAAGAGCTGGGATGAAAATTAAGCCCTCTCACTAACAGGGTGTTTACTCTGGAGGTCTGAGGGAGAATGTTTAGCGGAAACCCCATGAATAGACTGGACATCTGTAAGGAAGCAACTCATTCAGTTGAACCCAGTGAAAAGTTTTCTGGCGATGGTAAGCGTAAATAGGAGTATTTTTGGACTTATATACAGTCTTGAATTTGTATTAAAACCAAATCCATTCGGAAGGTGCTTCTGCTTCCATCGTCAGGTGTAATTAACTAATTCCATGGAACCGAGTCCTTCTTGAGACAGCAACAACCTCTCAGCTACTCAAGAACTTCCCAACATTATATGGAACCTGAAAGTTTATTACCGTAAATTGCAAATTATAGAATTAATACTAAGATCTTAAATGTGATGTTATAAAGATATGTGTTCAGTGGGGATTACAAGACAAGTTCTTAAAATTTGTGTATATCCATAATTGTTGTATTGTAGGTGAAATCATGATAAGAGCAATATCGTACACATCTCATAGAGCTCATAGAAAGTTCTATCTCACGCTTATATTGCTTGAAGTCAATTAATTAAATCATTTAATTAAAAGTCTTAATTAACATCTTGGTGTTCTGTTCAACACGCCATCTACCGTATAGTTTCTTGCATGCCACAATAAGTTGTCTCTACAGCAGTATTTAGAAATGAATTTAAGAATACCAGTTTTCTATGTTAAACGTTTTCCCCTAAGCTCTGAAGTCCAATATCATTCTAAATATTGTTTTAAAATTCAGTTTATGCATCTCAAACATTTTTCACTGTACATCGATTACAAAGATCAGTGAGTTATGGAAATAATTGCTGTTTATTTTGCCCATCATATGAAAACAAAATATTCACTCTGTGTCGAAAATTGAAATATTTAAATTTAAAACAGGTGGTTTGTACAGTAACTACTGTGAATTAAAAAGCTAATATCGACGTAAAATAATCAAATAACAAGACATTGTTCTTTTCGGAAAGTTTTATTGAAAAATCGAAAAACTCCAAATAAATTATTTTCGTGCAACTTCTGATTTTCAATTTTGCTCCAATTTTTAACAGTGTTCCATGACAGTATTCCTGAAATTCAATTTCTAGTTACCGAGAATATTTTCCCCTTTCCTAGCAGTGAATTTTGTGTTATGAAGGTTTTCTGGGTCCTGTTCGGAGGAATCGATTTGTTCTTTTACGGAGTACGGTCTGTCAGAAGGTCGTTTCTTCACTTTCCAGATTATTTAAATATATTCCATTCAATTCCTTCTGAATTCTCTTAAGTTTATTGAATGTGATCATCCTCTTGCATCATCCCTCGCTATACTTATGACTAAGTCTTATACTATACTATATATACTATAAGACATATTAAGTCCCTTGTACTGCTGCCACTTCTGGCCTATTGTACCAGCCCCAGATGATAGGCGAGGGTGATTGTGGAGCAATTGGTGGAATAAATATTGGCAGGGGAAACCGAAGTACTCGGAGAAAACCTGCCCCAGCGCCACTTTGTCCGCCACAAATCCCACTTCATCAGATCCGGGATAGAACCCGGGCCGCCGCGATGGAAGCCAGCGACTAGCAGCTTGAGCTGTGGCGCAGCCTCACATATTTAGTTACTTTCTCTTTTATTCCTCAATATAAATACGCCTAAAAGCGCTGTCATGGTGTATAAGTTCCAACAACTGTAGGAATTTAATTTTTCGAAATCAGCTATTATAAAATTCTGATTAAATTCAGAATTCCTGGACATATTTTTTCAACATCAGCTTGAGGTATACTTGCCAGGTCCTTAGCCATGATGCTCAACCAACGAACACGCGACAGTTTCTGCAATGGGAATCGAAACTGGAAATTCCTTTTATATGAAAGGAGACAAGTAAAATAACAGTAGATCTACTGAGAGTGTGAAGCTTATTATTGGCATTCACAGCAGGAATCATAAGTAGAAACAGTTTTCTCTTGAACTCAGCTTTACGCGTTGCGTTATCTTCTTCTGTTCTTGGCACTTCTTTCAACTGCTTTTGTTGTCGTCTGTTTCTATATCAAAAATCATTCCTCAGACTAGCAGAAGAACACAGATCACAACTCATGCAAATACAAAACTTGAGAATTCTCTGAAATTACTTCATGGTTATTTGTGATATAATTCCTGGATTTTAAAATCCGGTTTTACCTTTATTAATATGAGAATTTGACCTTCTGAAAAATATCAGAGTACGAAAATGGAATACGCCTTCAAGAGAAATGAAGGCGGAAAAAGCTAAGGCAAAGAAGATGCTAAAGGAATGGAAAGAATTTGATTAACGACAGAAGCAGAATAAGATGATGATGAAAAAGAAAGGGAAAGGAGAATAAAGGATAGAATAGAATTGAGGAGAATAAAGTGCAGGAGTAGAAAGAGAGCAGAAGATGAGAATGGGACAAAAGAATAAAGGGATTAAGATGAAAGAAGACTAAGTGTTTCTTGTGTCTACCTGTTACTCTGACTTCTTGTTGATGTCGGTCTGACATCATCGCTTGACCATTTAAAATCTAAGTGATATTTAAGTACGCATGAAAAGTATGCACGTGTGTTTCAAACGATGTCTTTGCAATTCTCGTTTCTCATTGACCTTGAAGTTTATTTATTAAAGATATAAGTAAAGTAAAGTGGTGGGGGCACGCGGCAGTGTAGTTGGTTGAGGCACTATGCTACAAGCCGGAAGGTCGCCGAATCGAATCCCGATTAGGTGGATGTTTTCGAATTGGCCTAATCCTTCCGGCCGAACTATGGCCCTGGAGTCGACTCAGCCTCTAACAGAAATGAGTACCAGAGGTATTCCTTGGGGTATGAAGGGCGGCCGGCGCGTAAGGCTGACAACCTCACCGCCATCTCTTAGCCAATTATCTAGAAAATGTGGGAGCCTCAGCATCTCACAACCCTATGCGTCTCCACGGCCTCGTACAGGGATATCTTTACATTTTACTTTACTATAAGTAAAGTGGTTCCCGTGCTTAATTAAGCACCGCGCACCCAGTCGTCCTTCCACGTTCAAGAAATATGCTGTAATGTGGGCAGCTTGCCTCCTTCGAGCCGCTCCGTGGTGTAATTTTACGTATGAACTTGAAACTAAAAATATTAGCATTTGCAGGCAATTTATAATTAAAAAATTCTAATTTCAAAGATTGGAGTATATATATATATATATGAAAGTAGAAAAACGTGTTTCTGAATTGCCATTTACTGATGTTGGTAATTTTATGGTAAATAAGTAAATCTTTCCAGTTATGTTGTTTCATGCTTAGAATAAAATAAAACCACGAAACTAAAATAAAAGAAGCTCAAAATTTTTTTGTGTAAAGTACATACGTGTATATATTTGTAATCAGTTGACCTTATTGGATTTCATTTTTTTAAATGACTTTCCTACATCGAATATTGCTCACCATTGTTAAGAAAAAATAAATTCTAAACAGTCCAGCTTTTTAAATATTTTGCTTTTGTTCTGGCAAATGAGACGACAGTATGTTTCCAAAGCGACGGCTGGCGACAAAACTGGTTGCCGAAGATATCGGGTTCATATTCGGTGTCAGGATTTATTCCAATTCCATTAAAAACAGCACCTTGGTTTGGAAAGGCTATGGCAAATCATATTACAGCCGCAAGAAACAGTACCACTGTCTACAAAGAAGAAAATAATGTCTCTTATTGCCCTTTATTTGTACAGAACATGACTGTATTCCGGTATTTCTATGAGGTCAACGTAAGCACGTATTTGATAGAATTATTCATAATAGCCGCTGTGAGAAACTTAAATCCTATACTTATTCTTCTTTTGGGATCCGTGGCTGATAAAGACTGAGAACTTGTGACCCGGCCTAATATCACAGTCTTAAGGCAATTTGTACTCGTCCAACAGCATTTTCGCAAAGTCATACTGTTAAACCATGTTTCTTTAAAAGAAAACATGGAGAGTATATCTAACAGAGAAACGTGGGTCCTACATATGATCAGACTAGAGAAGAGATTCTAGAAAGTATGGAAGTGTCTAAAAGTAACGCGTCTCACACTAAGTGCATAAGAAAAATTCGTAACATGTAGCGGTATAGAAATAGAATTTTAAGAGTCTGAACTACATTAAGTTAACACGTTATATTTTTAATTTAAAGCCCATAATGTTTCAAAGTATAAATAAAATATTCACAATTTAAAAATATAATTTCATCTTAAATAGCATTAATCGGTTTTGCCTTGAGACAAGACCTCGTATTTTTTTTAATAATTCTGGTTTAAGTAACAAGGTTCAGCAACACTCCTAATAATCATAGTATCGTCTATATGCCATCCAAGGAAACAAGCCAATAGTTCCTCCAAATCCAGCACCACGTCCGAGGAACGGACTGCCTCTAAAGCCATGTCCTCCGTGAGAATGGCCAGCATGAATACCACCAAAGCCACCTCGACCGCCTACAAATCCTCCACGACCTCCTCCAAATCCACCAAAGCCACCTCGACCGCCTGCAAATCCTCCACGGCCTCCTCCAAATCCACCAAAACCTCCTCTGCCACCTCCAAGGCCTCCACCAACACCCACTGCATAGCCACCGCCGCGGGCGGGCTCCGCTTTCACAAGGCAGACCAAAACCATAGTGAGTGCCACGTATAACTGTAAACATACCACATTTCGTTGATTCCTACCACAAGTATTGTCTTCATTCTTTAGGCATGTTATAATGTCCGTAAATTCTTGCGTATAACCAACTTGTTTTTAACTGATTTGTCCAGTGAAGACTAAATCATCAGGACAGAGGGCCACCATGAAGATGTAGGCAGCAGAGTCCTTCGTAACGTTAGTGTCTTTATAATAGACTATATTGTCACGTGTCACTACAGACGCGGATCGGATTGGTGACTCGGTTAATTGACCACTCGTGACTACACTTTACAGATCACTGACAAATACAGAATAGTGTTCCCAGCCTATTACAATCTGCACTAGCCGTTTCCTGGAAACGGATTTTAACACAGGAACCATAACAGTCTCACTGAATTACACTCCACATATCACGCATAAATTCTTCTCTTCACAGCCGGACTTTTAACTGAGCACTCCTGCAACTAAATCTTTACCTCACAGTCTCCCAAACGGAACGGTACTACGTATCAACAAGCTTTGTATCTTGCTTATAATGTCTCGGCACGGACAGCACAGAACACACCGTTGTTCTGTTGTTGCGTTCATGTCCGTGTTTACAAGGCCGTTACCCAGAAACGGCTGCAGAATGGGCCACAGAAAACACCGTTCTTCTATTACTGTGTGCGTGTACGTTGCGGGAATTACCTGGCAACGGCCACTATTTACAGAGTCACCGCTTAGCAACGGGCCTTATGCCATAATATGTAGCCTCCTTCCAGAAGACAGTCATTTTCATAATATAACAACTTTAACAGATTTTTCGATGAAAATTTTGTCTTCAGGGCATAAGATCACCATGAACATTAAGGCAGCAGGATCCTCCGAAAAGTTAGCACCTTTTTATTGGATCAAACGGCATCGGATCCCAGAAGACAGTATTCTTCATAGTATAACTACTATTAATGGATTATCCGGTGAAAATTATATCTCCAGCTTACAAGATCGCCCTGAAGATGCAAGCAATAGGTTCCTCCGAATAGTTAGCAACCTTTCTCTTTGACTACACGGCATCTCATCCCTGGAGTCAACATCCGTCATTGTACGTACTATCAATTCTGATAATGCATGAAACGGACATGGCGTTCGGCTATGTAGAATCCTTGCTTGAGATTTCGGAGACCTCACGTCCACGTCTCGGTTCGGGGCCGGCTATCCTGGCTGAGGTTTCAGCCCTTCCAGACAAACGTAGGCCACAACCGCTTCCTTCCACATTCCTCCTAATTCATTATTCACTCTCATATGACTATTTGATGGTATATAATATGAGCTGCTGATGTTTAAATAAGTAAATATAAATAAGATACTGTGGCATGTAGACCCGTTGCTAGGCAACGAGCGCGAAACAATTAGACAGCGGTCGTTACTAAACAACAGTCCCTAAACAGCAACAGGGACGGTGTTTTCTGTGTCGTCCGTGCTGAGATATTATAAGCAATCAGTCAGTGGAGCGGAGTGGGTTGGTGAATGAGTTAGTGAGTTTGTTGATGAGTTAGTTAGAGGACTGCTGCGGTATAGTCGCGAGCCGTTGCTGTTAGAAGCTGGTAGCTGAGGCCGAGGACAGTTAAGGGGCCCAAAGGAAGGGGAAGGTCGACGTAGGAAGCCGCTACAAAGTAAAAGCAGTAAAGGTGTGACTGTGGAAACTAGTGTGTGTGTGTGTGTGTGTGTGTGTGTGTAAGTTTTACAGTGAACTGCAAAATGTAGTCATGCGCTGTATCAAAGAGCCCAGTAAATCCCGTCACGAATACAGTACCCGTCCATAGTCACTGCAGGTTTACTTATAGCAGCATTACAAGCTCATAAATAAGTACAGCCTCTCTAACTATTGCTAACGAATTGACTTACCAGGTATTTACCCATGATCGTCAGTTGTCTTCACAGCCGCTCTCGACGGGTGACTTGGCGCTGGGCAACTGATACAGTTTCGTCTTCATGATTATATAGCCCTGTAAACCCAGAGCAGCGCTTCACCGAATATTGGCAATAAGAGAGGCACGAACACTTCAAGGTATCCGACCCCCCCCCTTTCTCGTTGCTAGATGTTAATTTACTCTTATTCACACTTGTGTACTCACATTACTACATTAAAAACTGCGTGGACATATGTGAAAAAGCAGTCTGAAATAAAATTACGTATGACTAGTCATAATATTTCGTGCTCTGTCCAGTAAACTTGCCAGTAGTGGTTCGATATATAGGTACCAACGCTTCGAAAGAAATTGCTGTATCCATCTTCGAGGAAGACTGCAAAAATGCAACAGATTCGAATTATTGGCACATGCCTAGTAAACTACACATCTTCGTGCCCCCGAAGACCGTTATCTTAATATTCAAGGCCATGAGAACTTCAGATATCATTTTCTCTTGTTATGATTGTCAATCGTATAAGGCTACCATTGGATGGACGTGTAGCCAGGGTACAAACATGCATATGGAATTGTGGTAGGGAAACCTTTTCGAAAACGACGGCTTAGAAGAATGAGGATAAGGGAGGATAATATTAAAATAGATATTATTGAAATAGGTTCTGAGTGTTTGTGAAGAATAGCGCTGACATAGAATCATATCCGATGTCGGACTTCATGGTCATGGAGTTTTTTTTTCCATATGAAGTACATATAGTATTTTATTTTTTGTTACGGAACAACCTAAGTTAGAAGTAGGTCTGTACATATACTGAGCCCCGAGAAATATGTTGCAACTATGCAGCTGGTAATTGTGTACAAAATCAGAACATTATTGTTGTGTTTGCATTGTTAATTGATTAACTAACTAATAAGATAACTGTAAACAAAAATACTTGAAGTTTTGAATGCACAATTACCAAACTTGATATGAGGGGCTCCCACTACTCAAAATATGAAGACACTAAATGTTTATTTATAAGTAAATTCCTTTATACGTAGGAAGGGTTTGGTGAGGAGTTTATTCTCAGAACAGGGAAAAATCATTAATATTGAACTTAGTGCACACAAAATTATTACTTATAAAGCATTCCTTTATTTCTAAAAAAAGATCAATGTGTTTGTAAAATGCACAAAACAATACATAGAGCCAAAGCAACCATAACTGTATGACACAATTTCTCATTGAATGTAGTGGTGACGTATATATCTGTGACAAGATTAGAAAAACATGCAGCATCGGATGCTGCATTGTGATATCTGGTGAAGTTTGTATCTATGACAAGATCAGAAAAACATGCAGCGTCGGATGTTGTATTGTGATATCTGGTGACGTTTGTATCTATGACAAGATCAGAAAAACATGCAGCGTCGGATGTTGCATTGTGATATCTGGTAAAGCCTTTCATATGTAATAAAACTACTAATTACAGGGTGCCCAATTTAAGTCGTGTCCGAGCCGTAGAGCTCAAAAGACTTCCGCATTTTAGTGAGACTCTCGCCGACCTACCTCTGAGGATCAGTAGCTATAAACTCTTCGCTCTGTATAAAACTGTATTTTGAGGTATCAAGTCATAAAAGCGGGCAAACCATCATACATAAAAAAGGTAAAGCTATCCCTGTAACAGGCCGTGGAGGCACATAGGGTTGTGAAACTTCGAGGCTCACACATTTTCTAGAAAATGTTCACACATGACGGCGAGTTTGTCAGCCTTACACGCCGCCCACCGTTTACCTCCAGGAAGATTCCTAGTACTCATATCTGTTAGAGGCTGAGTAGACCCCAGGGCCATAATGCGATTGGAAGGATTAGATCAATTTAAAAATCTAATGATCTCATGGGGAATTGAACCCCTACCATTCCGGCTTGTAACATAGTGCCTCAAAGAACTACGATACCCCGTGCCCCTAAACCATCTACATAATAAATATGAACAGAAAAATATTAAGATTGATTTGCGAAGACGCTTAGTAAACTGATAAATATGATGGATATTTTCCATCCTGAGCATCACAGCTCTTACGCCAGCAAAGTAGCTTATAGAGTTGTAGATTCTGATTGCTTAATAAATAAATAAAATAAAAAATCCATCTTCTCTTTCTTGTTGGAAGAACACGACGTCTCGGAACCCGGCTTTGCGTCAATATTCAGGAGAGAGTAATGAAACCGTTTCTGTTCCGTCCATTAGATGGGGCTAGTCTCTGCCTAATTATACGAATACCTGATGTGAGATGGCATTATCCGACATACTTTTGTGTTAATATATAAAACCATTTCACTAAAGAAACGTTACACACATACTCAAGGAAATTGGCCAGCAATTACACTCTTAGAATAGGCAACCACTGTCGGTTTTGAGAAAAAGGGAATTTCTTTATTTTTAACCAAAGTAAATTAAGCATATAAAACACAATATTGACAACATTGTTCTGTGCAACACAATTGTTTCTATCTCAAATACATGAAATTAGAGTACTCAGTTCTCTTTGGCTGAAGTTGAAATAGCATTGAAAGATCTTGATAATATTATACAAATTCCATAACACTGTTACACTTTCAAACGGAATTTCCATGGAAGAAAATTTTAATAAATGCATTTCTTGGTCACGAATTTGTTGGACAACCATTTCTTCATTCTTTCAGGTATTTCTGTTTACCCATGTTTGCCATATCCTCCGTGACCACCGTGACCTCCTAGACCTCCTCCGAATCCTCCGCCGCCTCCAAATCCACCACCTCCTCCATATCCACCACCTCCTCCAAACCCACCACCTCCTCCGAAACCACCGCCTCCATATCCACTTTTGCCTCCTCCGAAGCCACCAAGACCACCTCCATGTCCTCCTCCTAAACCGCCATGACCGCCTCCATGACCACCTACTCCGTAACCGCCAAGACCGCCTCCATGGCTACCCCCACCATATCCGCCGCGGCCTCCACCAAATCCACCACCATGTCCACCACCTCCGAAACCACCAAGACCTCCTCCTCCGTGTCCACCACTCCCATAACCACCTGGCGCTGGCAATGCCCAGACGGCAGCTACTAGTAGTGACGAGTACAGCTAGAAGCAGAAACATTGTTGCATGTTACTGGCGGACCTTTGATTGCAATTAGCGTCCATTGTTTATCTTCCGTGAAAATTGCAACACTTCTACATTCTACACTTCAAAACTACATGTTTGGGGCTCGAACGTCCATCTTCAGGTGTTTTTATGTTAGAGATATTTTACTAAAACTGTGTTAAAAACTACTACACTGTTTTAATTCGTGTTAAAATCACACGCTATAGTCCTCTTTTTAAGTAAAATGAGATAAAATTCTTTAATTTCTGTTGTATGTTATTCCACCTCACCCGGGGTGTCGTCATTTTTCGTAAATGAGTCAAGGTGCTTTTCTTGGCAACTTGCCCCTCACGTTCGTGGTCTACTTTCAGTTTTTGACTGCCATATGCTCCTGGTTTATGTGTGCTTCCTCCACAGCGTGTGGTGTTGCCTTTACTAGTTTTTACTAGTTTTAACACAGTTTTAGTAAAATATCTGTAACATAAAAAACACCTGAAGATGGCCGTTTGAGGCCGAAACATGTAGTGTTGAAGTGTAGAATATAAAAGTGTTGCAATTTTCACGGAAGATAATCAATGGACGCTAATTTGAACAATTGCAACGGGATGCTGAAATACAGAATCATTTGTTTGCAGACCCTAACTCATAAAATTAATTCCCCACTAGAATAATTAATTCGACGTGTGAAGAAATGGCATCATCAATTTATCAAAGAGAGTAATTGAGAACAATTTCGGGTGTGAGGTTTCCACAGCGGTGGTCATGAACAGGTCTATCTTCGGGGATATAACGCCGTGCAGTTCGCTGAATGTCAACCGACGTTTCGGCGGAACATAATCTTCAGGCTCGGGGTCCACCCAGCCACCTACACAGTGGGCACGGGCGTTGTTTCCCCGGAGTAGAGCGACATTGGCGTGAAGCTGACCACTCTCTGTATCTAGTGTGTAGGTTAAGAATGGTAGAGCTATACCTCCACTTCCACTACGCCTTCATGGAGCTGTTCTTAATTAATTAAGCCAAGGGCTAACTTTGCCTTACCCTTACTTAAATCAAGCAATTCGTCTGCAATCAGCATCCTAAATTTTTTATGTAATTCATCCTTCTTATGTCCAAGTATTCTCCTGGGCATTTTCCAACAATTTTACTTTATTTGATTCTCTAAGAATAAGAGGGTGTATCCCACAGCTACACAAAGCTAACTCCGTGGGACAGAGTGATTCTTGAAAAACGAAATGTAGTTCGCCTCGTCAATAAATTTCGTTACCGTGTTAACAAATTGCCTCCACGGTCTCTACTTTGAGCTAGATGAATTCAAGTAGATTCTATACAGTTCTGACATATGTTGTATAACACTCATAATTATTCGGTTTTCAGTCTTTGTCTATCGCACGGTATTATAGAAACTAGAAAACTCGACGTTTCGGAAACTGAATCTGTTTCCAGATCTGGTCCAGTGATTGAGGTTAGCTCTTTCTAAGGGACCCAGCTCAGTAGGTGTCTTCCCTCCCCCCACTTATGGACGGAAACAGATCCAGTTTCCGAAACGTCGTGTTTTCTAGTTTCTATAATACCGGATGATGGAAAGGGTCCAAAACCGAGTAATTATGAGTAGATGAATTCAGTACACACGCTCAAATATTATTCGTGTGGGATAAATTTCAGTGTTATCCTGCAATATATACTTAGGTTTCCCGTGTGATCTCTTCCCTGAGGGTTTTCCTTACTAGCTTTACGAACACATTTCTCAAATATTCATCTCCTGCATTCTTCACCCATTTCGTGCGCCACCATTTAATGTTTCTAATAATATTTGGTGGCCGGTCACGGTAGCCGAGCGGTCTAAGGCATGCACTGTCTTCGTTCGCTCGGAATGCGAGATCGTGGGTTCGAATCCCACTCAGGGCATGAATGTTTGTGTGCGTTTTTCTGTGTTTGTCTACAGGTAGAGGCCTTGCGACGAGCTGATCACTCGCCCAAGGAGTCCTACCGTATGTGTAAGATCTAGAAAAACCGAAGTGAACGGAGAAGTTCATGGAGGTAGGCCTAGGCCCACTGGGGCTGTAGTGCCAAGGAGAAAAAAAAATTTGGTGACGAGCAGAAGTTAGGAAATTTCTCATTATGCAATTTTCATCAGCAACCTATTGATTCTTGCCTCTTTGATCGAAATATCCTACTCAGTTCCCCGTTCTCCAATACTCTTAGTATGAAATATCAAGTTCTATACCAATACATAACCAGAGGCAAATTTTACCAATTATTTTAAAGTAAACAGTTCCACCGCATGTTTTAAATGACAGTAATCAAGTACAAACATGTACTTTTCGCATACGTAAATACAAAATGGGATTGTTTGCCATGCCCCTTTCACTTTGTTCACTTTGTTAATCATATATATACATACCAGGCACTTGACCGTCATGTTCTTCAGAGTGATCCTTACAGGGGACGCAAAAACTGACAACTGAGGAGCAGACTGCGAACTCAGTATATATATGGGCTTCCAACCGGATTAAATCGTGAATGAACAGAAAAAGAAAGTCTTGAGGTAGAGGCAATGCCCAGAAGGTGAAGGTTTTGTAACTGATTGTTTGAGAGATGAGCCTGATAAATTTCCCATGTGCGATTCGAAACACTGCTGCTTCCATTGTGATTCCCCTGTGCGGTTAAGTTTAAGAATGGCCATGAGATTATTAGACTGCACTGGACAGAACAGGATGCCTACAAAATCAGTTCCCACTCACCATCTCATTCCTGACTTTGAGGGACTGGAATCGAACTGATTACGTTATATAAGAAAGTAAAATTAGATTCTAAAGGGTTCTGATGGTTGAGGTTAGCTCTTTATAACGGACACAACAGATTAAGTGTCTTCACTCTCCCACATGAGCAAGGAAATACGTCCTCTTTCCGAAACATTGCGTTCCCCTAGTGCTTTTTAGAATACTAGACGATAGACAAAGTCCAAAAACCCAGTAATTCCTAGAAATTAAAAATAGTTGCATTTTCTATGTAGTATTTTGAACCCTCTGAAACACTGTAGTTACTATGAGTGTACCGTATATGCCATCTGTTTCGCCATTAAGAAACACTGCATTTTGCTCACAGAATTGATCAGTTTCCTATAATTCCAGAGGAAACTGTTATCAATTCCCTAGAAGGTTTTAACCAATCCGTCTTGTTAATTCACAAGCAATGTGTTTCCTGCAAGGTAAGAACTGCAATATTATATATAATTTAGACAAATTCTGCACTTCACAAAGTTAAAGCATGTCGGTAACATAATGTACAGCCTGCTTTAAATTTCACAACCATGCACTTGGACCACAATATATTTAGCGGTTTCCTACGACTCTCAGAATAGACAGTGATTATTTTCCTAACCAGCACTAGGTCTCATAGATTGAACTTTGTATTGTAAACGCGGTGTGTTCTCTTTGCGATAGAACATATTTTAAATACTTTTTATATTAATTCCTTACTTTAGAGGCATACTTACGACGGAGACTTTTCAGAGAGATGAGCTCCATTCCCTGTTCATTTAAAATATTATTGGAGTGATCAAATGAAGGAGGACGTCATGGACGGTGCATATAGCAGGCTGAATGATAAAAAAAATTATACAGTGCCCTGGAAACTGAAGCGCAGATTGGAGGATTACATCACGAAGGAGCGAGTCCTTATGATGATATCTGTTCTTTGACTATTGATATCTTTTTATGTACACATGCGTAACATAATGTGTCATGTAAAGGAAGCAGTTTGAAATTGGTTATTTGTGCGTATTACTCTTGGGAGATAAAATTAAACTTCGGTCTCCGCGTCTCATTCGATATGGGGGACTGGAAATAACACGGGGGAAAACAGTAATGTGACAGCTTGCACTATAAACAATGGGACTCACATTCTCAGCGAATGCTACAATAAAAGTTAAGCTATCCCTGTAACAGGCTGTGAAGGCCCATAGTATTGTGAGACATCGAGCCTCCAAAATTATCTAGACAATGGGCTCACAGATGGCGGTGAACTTTACGCGCCGGCCGCCCTTTACCTTCAGGAAGATTCCTGGAGCTCATTTCTGCTAGAGGCGAATTCGACCCCAAGTCCATAGTGCGGCTGGAAGGGTTAAGTCAATTGAAAACCCCAATGACGTCATTGGGAATCTAACCCGCGAACTACAGGCCTGTAGCACAGTGCCGCAACCAACTACGCTACCGCGTGTCCGAATACAACAACAGTAGTTATTTATTTCCAGAAACTTTATTTAAATAGTATATTTTATCTGTTTATACGTCATTTCCTTCTTAGCGGTGCACTCTCATCAGATTTCGCCTTCAACAACGTGGCCTAGAAGCATGGCCCTTTCGGGGCTAACAACCTTAAAGTGATTCCCCTCAGTCGTGGTATAAATGTCAAGGTTATTTCGAACGAAATGGGCCGCATTCCATAACTTCCCAGTGTAAACTCCTTGTATTTCTTCTTACAGAGAGGCTCTGTAGTTTGTCCTTGACTGGTGTAGACCAACCCTGCCCTCCTGGCGACATAACTTTCCTTCAGTCGCCAACACACAAAAGGAGATATGCTAGTCCTCGTCTGTGTAGCCTGTGAAAAGATTTTGATAGATACAGATGTAGCAATATTTGTGGCAGCATTGGCCCAGCTTAAGAATTTTTCCCCCCACACATACACACACGGTCATACTCTCACATAGTAGTATGGGTGACTGTAGGCGGATTGCTACAAAATGAGGAACTTCATAACTTGTACTCTTCTCCAAGTATAATTAGAATGATCAGGTCAAGTAGGATGAGGTGGGCAGATCATGTAGCACGAATTGGGAGACGAGGAATGCGTATAGGATGTTGGTGGGAAAGCCAGAAGGAAAGACACCACAGGGAAGACCAAGGCGTAGGTGGGTGGATAATATTAGAATGGATCTTAGAAAGATAGTATGGGATGGTATGGATTGGATAGATCTGGTTCAGGATATGGACCAGTGGAGGGCTCTTGTGAACACGGTAATAAACCTTCGTGTTCCATAAAATGCTGGGAAATTCTTGAGTAGCTGCAGAATTGGCGATTCCTCCAGAAGAGCTCGGATCCATGAGTAAGTATAGGCGGATTAGCTCTTAGGTTAGGTACTGAATAATTCTGATGTTGAAATTGCATCTCAGACTTTCATATATTATTTATAGTTGCATGGAAAATTTAAGTTTTGTTAATTTTATAGGGAATTTAATATGAGTCGTATGCTTTAAATTCCGAGTTTGTATGGTGTGTGATTATGATTATTATAAAATGAACACGCCACACAGATAATCAAGTCAAATCATTAATATAATGGGGTGCATAAATTCAAGGTGAACAGACACTGTGTTCTTCAGAAGACCGTGAATTGGAACGAAAGTGAAGCTAATTCAAAACAGGAAATGACTCTGTTGTTATTTATATAAATGTTATTATTAAATGAAATATGTTGACTGTGTGGCTTAATCTTCGACTCTGAAGACGGAACCGTATGTTTCTCCAATTCTTCGCGCTGCCTCCATATTACGCAACGTTACAACCCAGGGGACCGTGCCATATACAGTCACGGCTTGAGAAACTCAAGTCTAACATAAAAATATGACCATTATCAGTATATTCTGAAGGGTTCCGACTATGGTTTACAACACTCAGAACTACTTGGTTTTTGGATTCTATCCATCGTCCAGTATTCTAAAAATTAGAGAACCAACGTTTCGGGACCTGCATCTGTCTCTGTCCTCAGGTGAGGGGGAGAATCACCTACTCTATTGGGTCCCTTAGAAAAACTTACCTCAATCACTGGACCACCCATGACAGTATAACTACAACTATATATACACCTGAGATCAGGCTTTGTCGAATGGAGATAACAGGAAAATATGCACCAAAATTGTGATAAATCATGCACAGACCTGAAAATGTTATGCAACAAATATAGCCAACAAATCAAGTCCGAAAAAAACCAACGCATATGAAAAAATGGAGAATCAGTGAACTTATTTGTGCCTACCACTAGTCCAGAAACTCAGTAATTCTGATTTACCATATTCTATATACTGATAATTCTAATGAAACTTCTTTACGTAGATTTTTACCATTTATTCCAGTCAAATTTCGGTTCAGTATTTTGAAATTAGTCATGGACACTACCTTACTAATATTTTACGTAACCAACATTCGATGCTGTAAGCATATTATTCGCAGAACATGTTATAAAGCAGAAACCATGGGTTGTCTCTAGCCGTAACATGCAGCGGTTTCCATTTGAACTAAGTCTTTCTTAAGAAGCGATCAGTTTCTCAGTCGTCCACGAAATTCCCAGAATTTTATGGAACTCGAAGGTTCAATGCCGTGTTCACAAGAATCTGCCACTGGCTTCTGTCCCGAGCCAGATCAATCCAGTCCATAGATCTCCATCCTATTTTCCCAAGATTCTTTCCAGTATTATCCAATATTGTACGTCTAGGTCTTCTCAGGAGTGTTTTTCCTTCAGGTTTTCTTCCAAAGCTTTTATCCATACTTGTTGCCTCCCATAGGTCTGCATTCCCAGCCCATCTCATCTTCCTTTACTTGATCATTCTCATAACATTTACCAAGAAGCACAAGTAATAATGCTCCTCATGTGATTTGCCAAGCCTCATATTAATTCACCCTCTTGGGTCCAAACTACATCATGAAATAATGTATAGGTTTGTGCAATATTAGTGTGGTTTGCCTAATAACCATAGATTTATGTTCGGAATGCACAAATAATCAGGACATTGACTTATGTAAGTGAAGAAACAACTATTTTTCAAAATGCGTGTAATCTGTTTCATTATATTTGTATATTAAACTTTTACATATTTTGGAATGTAAACCAGTTGCTAGGAAACATATTCCTAACATGCACCAATGAAATAGTTGGGAATCGATGTTCTCTATACGGTCCGCGTGACGGCTGCGTGACGCAAGAATAAAAGAACTGTTGGGAGGGGTGATCCTGTGCGGTCCATGCCGAGGAAAATCTAGGGTTTACTTAATTCTGAGACAGCCTCCGGCCGTTAAGGATGTGGACATGGAAGTTGAGGGATCTGCGGCGTTGGAAGCCTTACCAGACAACTGGTGAAGGCATCGGAGACTGAGAATTCCTAGTGCTTGCTGTAGTGAATTAGCGATAGCGTTATAGTTACTTGGGAGTTACGTTTTTAAGAGTTTAACAAATCCCATTACCAATCCAAACCCCGTCTGTATTCACTCCATCACGTTACAATACGCTGTTTGTGAATTAAATTTATATTGTGTATACTGTATTCCCATGAGGTCTAATTTATGACGTCTCCATACTGCTGAGACCGGCTTGAAGGAAGTGCAAAGGAAATAATATCTTTAATGTCAAGGTTAATTCTTTCATCTGTGAAAGGATACGACTTAATAATCTGAGACAAACAAAAGGAAGCTTCTTTAATGGGGTAAATACTGAAAAGACTTGTTCACCAGCGAGAAGATTCGTTATTGGCACGCTTACTGTTTGCGTCATTCTGCTTCGTGGCCTTGTTATCAGGAACAAGAGTCAAGTAATTTCTTCTGATCAGTGACATTGCGCACGAAAGTACCTTGTCTAATGTTTTGTTTCTCTGCCTTCTTAATATCCGGAATATACCAGTATTTCTTCAAGAGATGAAATAGCTCAGTCGGTATAGAAATGGTGTAGGGGATGGATCGCCGGGGTTCGCTTCCCGACAGGACGAACTTGTCTCCTCTCCATAACGTCGAAACAGGCTCTGGGGTGCTCCCAGCCTCCTATCCAATGGGTACCGGTGGCGATTTCCTCAGGCCGGGACGAGAAGCTGTCCGTCTAGTTTCGAGGTGAAGAAAGAATGGTGGAGGTGTACCTCCGCTCCCCCCATATATCTTCATGTCATAGTGCTAAATGCATTAAGGACAGACAGCTTTACATACTTCTTCTTCTACTTCAGCTTCAGGAATTATTAGTCATTCACCCCTTTCGTAATTCGGAATTAATTTTAAAATAATAAATCATTTGAAAAGATTTGAGGTTCCACCATCGTGTCTGAAGAATTTTAACTCTTTAATCTGTTAGTCTGAAATTTGAGGCAACGCTGATCTCTGAAACTTCGGTGAATATCCCTGCTTTTTACTTTTTTCACTCAGGTTTCTTGGTTTGCTTTCTCTTCGGCCCTGGACGTGGAGGCAACATGTACCTCCGAAATGCCATTTGGCTTTCAGCGATCTACACGGCATTTTATCCCATAAGATGTAAATCTATATCTATCAGACTACATTATGACACACCGCAGAAGACAGAAATCTTCAGCGAAAAATTTTGTCTGTTGGTAGGACCCCTTACACAGGGTGAGCCCATTGGGAGGAGATAATTGAACACGTACAAGAAACAGAGACGTACTACGTAATATGCCCTAAATAAATCCGAAATCCTGATCCAGCTGTTAGAGCTCTCCATGACTGTATGCCCCTCAGAATCCCAATCATCTTCTTGTCCATACATGCGTCTGTTTGTTTGTTTGTTTGTTTGTTTTATGACGCTCTTCTGACTACTGCGACTTTTTAACTTCGAATTATGTCTGCATGAATTACGAATCCGACGAACAGATGAGTAGAAAGTAGCTATCTTTTATTCTATTAAGATGCTATGCTGTAATTTATGTAGCGGGACTGGGGAAGATCATGAAAATATCACTCAGGATAGCTGATCCCAAAACTGAGATTCGATTTTTTTTTCTTGAATGCTGTTTTAAAGGCGATGAGATTAAATGACATAAAGATATATTTAACATAATTGTGCTTTATTATTCATTGCTTACATTAACATTAAATATGATACTGGGTTTACAATTAAATTGATTTCACTAAGAAATTCAACAACGAAACACTGATAGTCCTTGAAAAATATATATGCAAGGCTTTGCTTTTGCATGATGCCGGCTTCACGCTGGTTTCTTGCCTGGCTTCTTCTACAGCTCTGAAAATGGAGGAGAAATGTTCCTCCGAAACGTACGTTGACTTTTAACGGAATACACGGCGTTATATCCCAGAAAATATAACTCTTCAAAATAGTTATTTCGTATCCTTAATATTTACTTTAGAAAATACTATAATATACAAAAAAATAATATACTTTTTAAACAGAATCAGACTTATATTATATATTATTTTATATATTATTATATTCCTCAGCAAAAACACAGCAATTCCTGATCAAGGAGTTAGTGAGGATCTGATTACAGACAGTTGTGTGACGTGTCTTATGATAGCGAATTTCAAGAGTTTTCCTGTTCCAGCAGAATGGACTTTGCTATGTGAAGCAAATCCTTAGTCACGGTGACTTAAACCTTGATGAAGGAGAAATATGAATCCTTTGAAATGCTTTCCACGCTCTTTGAATTGATGGAATGAATGTAACAGAAGCACATCGGAACCAAAACTATTGAAACCTGTTAGACCTTGCATTTTTCAGTCTGAAAAATTCTGTATAAGAAAAATACTGACTCAGATCAGAGCAGAGTCACTTGATAAGATATTAACGTTAAACTAACATTGGAAAATCTGTAGTACATAGTATAATATTGTGTATGCAAATATCCTCCAGACAGTGACTTATATAAACGTCTAGACGTATACTGATATTAACATATAATTTCATAGTCTTAGATTCATTATTCAAATATTCTCTGTTACACTGATGAATGTGGCTAAAGACGTAAGTTTAACGGCGTCCTTTAGGAACAGGATGGCCATGACCGTCGTTAGGATTGTGATAATGGTCCGGATCAGGCAGTGGGTTGGCCATAACATAGCAGAGAGCTGATACGAGAATCACCAACAGCACCTGCAAAGAGAACGATTGCATTTCAGTTGGATCATATTAAAAGTTGAACACTTCTTATGCACAAGGCAAGGCCGCGCCATAGCTCAAGCGGTTTTTCGCTGGCTTCCCACCGCGGCGGCCCGGGTTCGATCCCAAGTCTGGTGAAGTGGGATTTGTGGTGGACAAAGTGGCGCTGGTGCAGGTTTTCTCCGAGTACTTCGGTTTCCTCTGCCAATCTTCATTCCACCAGTTGCTCCACAATCACCCTCACCTATCAACTGGGGCTGGTACAATAGGCCAGAAGTGGCCGCAGTACAAGGGACTACGTCCCACCCCACTAGCAATAAAAAATATGTACAAGACAGCGCTTCCTGCAAATGTCGTTATAACTGATATGTAAATGTTATAAAAATAGATATTGATTGCCCTCTTTATATCATTCAATTTTTATGACTTACTTTGGATCAATTTAAAAGTTTGGGACCAAGCGTCGCGGTCCGCTGTGCGATACACTTACTTCTTATTCCAGAGAAGCTCGTAAAATGGACTGTCCTGACAGGTTTTTCGTGTGGTTCCCCTCAGTCTGTCCAGGAGAATTCCGGGATAGTATGTCGAAATTAGGTCACTGTTGCTTCCGGTCAGATCTTTCCAATTCATTATTCACTCATCATACTCTCTTTCAATGCTCTACAGTTTGAACTAACGGAATTGTCAGAGGGGTCCTAGAGGGCTCTGGAATTACTGGATTTTTGGACTTTGTCAAACTGGTCAGTCACTGGTCCAGTAATTGAGGCTATCTCTTCCTGACAGACCCAACGCAGTCGGTATCTCTCCCCCTTGCCTGAGAACGGAAACAGATCCATTTTCCGAAACGTTTTGTACCCTAGTGTTATTGGAAGCATCATTAAATAAAAGAGTTGTAGCTTTGCTTTAATATAGTTAGATGCCACGTAGGTAAAATTCCATTATACGTTATGTACCTTATTAGCCTTTAAATTTAAGCAAATTACACTAATTGTTTACTTTCACTAACAATCATAATGCAGACTGTGTATCGTCCTTAAGTGTCACTCTGTTATTAAGAGCTACTAACTTACGTACTCCGAATAAGGATATAAATGACAAGAATATCTTTGATTTGGTTCATCCTGGTCCGTCACACTAGCAATATTATAAAGGAATGAATGAAGCCATAGAAAATCAGACGTAGAGAGAAGCGGGATAAGGACGTCCAAGGGAATTCGGAAGATCGATTCTGGTGCAGCAAACATTAGTACCTGAAGTATGAAAGAAGATGGAAAAAGGCAAACCAAAGTATCGATGGTATAATATTGTGGCATGTAAACTCGTTGCTAGGCAACGACCGCGAAATGAGCAATTATACAGCAGCCGAAGAATGGCGTCTTCTGGGTTGTGGCGCCGTGTACATCCCAAAAGACGGCATTCTTCATAGTCACCGCCGTGAAAACCTCAAATCTTATACACAGCAACCGTTTTTGACTCACTGCTCCGACAGCAGCCACGAACGTAACAATTCCACGGCAACAAGAGGATACAGCAATAATGAGAAATTGTGTTTTCTGTATATTACGTGCCGAGATATCACGAGCAGGAAAATCTATGAGCTGAAAATTGTTTGGTGAGTTAGATAACAGCTCAATTTTTGTGAGCTGATGCTGTGAGAAGCTGATAGCTGAGGCCGGGGATAGTTTCGGAGCCCAGTGGAAGGGAAACGTCCGGCTGTTGGAAGCCGCTACCAAGCAACAGCTAGCGAAGAATCTAACAGACTGCGAACACTAGCCTGTGAGTCTGTGTATGACAGTGATTTGTGAATTGTAGTAATGCGTTATATGCGCAATAAATCCGATTACCAATCCAAACCCCGCCTAGAATCACACTCATACACGTGAGAAAATTTTTCATATTTAGGAGACCCGTTGCTTGACCCGAAGACCCTTTATCCCACCTAAGGTTTATCGCGAATTTTCCAAGTCCCTTCAGACATATTCAGGAATTGGCCACGGCCGCTTGTTTCCACATCCATCCTAATTCAGAATTTAGCGTTGTCCTACAGATCAATTATTTGTAAGTGTGAATATAATGAACTATATTCTAATAGATGTACGTACCAAGTATTTAGCCATTGCTTCTGTTTGCTGCCAGCTGATCTTGAGAGCAGTTTTGGAAACGTATGCGCTGATGTGTTAGTATGTCGCCCAGTTTATATAGAGGTGTTACTCAGTGCCGGAGGGTGAGTAAAACAAATAAAAATCTAGCAGACTGAAGCCAAGCAAGAACATGAAGGATTTTTAAGAAAAAGAACATCATTGCTGGGTTAACGGCATTATCATTTCTACGCTCTTTTTGTAATTTCACGGTTTCGCAAACATGTTATGCCGTTAAGAACTGATAAAATTAGCGAAATAATTTCTACAAATCAATCCAGAGCCTTCTATATTTCCATATCATGACTGAAATATAAAGATTAAATTGTAAGAAATATAGCGTATTTGTTGCTTTGTGTGGGTGCGAAATTTTGTCTCTCGCTTGAAAGAAAGAGCAACGCAGTGAAGATAATATACAGGCCTGAGAGAGAGGATGTAAAGAAGAGAGGGAGAACATTATGTCATAAAATTTCAACGTTTGTATGCATATTATTCACTTGATATTAAAGTGATAAGCGATTGCATGTGAGATAAGGGGAACACTTAACAACAATGTGAGAAATGCATACAAAGTTGTGGCAGCAGACCTTAAGGGAAAAGGCCGCCAACGAGTTCCGTGTAGATGACAGCATAAATAATATTTAGGGTGGCCGCACACCAACTGCGTCAAGACAAGCATCAAGACATGAGACTAAGACACAGCTTGCTTCATTAGTGATTCGTCAGCATCATGACTCAGACCGGTGTGCAGCTGTTTTCGTAATCTCATTCGTTTCAACTGTGCTCCTTTCTTTGTGTCATGTCGCAGATATCGAGTTTTGACGCATGCCGGTGTGCGGCCTACCTTAGAGAATCAGGGTATGAGGATGTGGGCTGGATTGAAGTGGCTGAAGAGAGGACCCAATGATAGGCTTTGAGAACACGATAAGGAATCATCACATTACTTAATGCAGATAGTTTCATTGTTAGCTGAGTAACTGTGAGCTATTAAAGGGAGACTATACCGGGAAGCTAACCGTTGTACTTTATTAAGTTTAAAGAGCCCGTGTGGAGGCGGGTTAGAATATCTTTACCGTAGCCCTGCGAGTCATAGAAGATGAAGGAAACCCAGTGCTTGGGGCTATAACTGGGCCACTCTGTTATTGCGGGACATAAATATAGGGACCTGGTCTTCCAGGTTGGGAGTTGGACGCAAGGCTGACGACCTTGCTCAGTAAAAAAATATATATTTGCGAAAACCAAAGAAGTGAAAACCGGAAGCAGTTTGACACAGTCTTCTAAGGAAGGCTAGGCTGTTTTGCCAATGATGATAATGATTAGGTTTAAAGGATTTATAGCCAACATATACGGTTATATAATGATTTTAAATTGCAGAAATACAACTGAAATAATATTGCTTTTTAATAATATCCATTCTTCCACAACCTCGCCAAGCGCTATATGCGAATATATTTATAAGAGCTACAGTAGGCCTATTCATCTTATTGAAAGAATGGAACTTGGACATATTCTAAAGGAGGTAATGGATTATACACGAAAGATATGCATATGACACCCAAAGTTACGCTGAAGGATGGATCTATCTTATAGAGGAGCGGAAAGGATCGAAATCTCCACTCCAAACATTGATGATGATGATGATGATGATCATGATGACAGTATGATTACTCTAGTGCTCAATATTTAGTTAAAAATCAAGAATACAAGTAATTCTTTATTCGATTGATTGTATCACATGATATATAATTTTGTATTAAAGTATATTTCCATTTAAACTAAAACTGTATTAGCCGTCGTCACCTGATAATTCACCCATGGTGAATAAGCTAGAGGACGTATGAACTCTGCCCTGATGTTATATATGGAGATTCTTTCATGTCATTTTAATTGCCTGTACTTTCGGAAACACGATTTCGTATTGTGTGAATAGTCTTACAAATTACAGAATATACATATGTAACTTTGTTTAATTCATTATTATACTATTTATGCTCCGTAAAATTCCAGTGTATATTTAATTTAGACATTTTGAAATAAATCTTCAATATGACCAAAAGGTTTTCGACATTGTTGTTTCATCTGTTGTCCTACAAGTAAATTTATTCGGCATTGGGCACAGTACTATCTTCTGGGATGAAGCCGCATATTCTGGTAGACATCACTCGACAATTTCTTCTTCACTGTCCTAAGAGTAAGTCAAGCAGGGAACCAGCAATAAGAAAGAGCTACTTAAGAAAAACTCAGTACATTTCTCCGAATCGCCGGTAAGCTTCTGTCGTATTACAAGGCGTCACATTTCAAAAAATAGTTATTGCTTTGAGATGCCAGTGGACTCGTAACAATTTATTCTGTCAGCATTTCAAAATTTATAACATGAACTTTACAGAACATTATAAGATATTTTATTTTAGCACAATGAGTATTCTAACTCTCCGTAACTATTCTTGTTAAACATTTTGTTGCAAAGGAATCATACAAAGTGTGTATGTATGTATATATACTGTATGCATAAATTGGGTTATTTTTATAAAGAGTAAAGTGGAGCTTTAGAGTGTCACGACAATTACTGCAAATATATATTCTGGAGTGCAAGTGATGCAGTCTGGTAGAACATTACCGAAGTTCTGCATCTATCTTCAGGCTAAACTTATACTACGCAGTCAGTAAGTTGCTCCATAACGCCGGTTTCCTCCCTACAGACTGCGCAGGCGCCAGATTCATGGCGAGAGCAAAGTGATTCCATCGAACAGTTCTGTTTAGTGTATCATTATTTCCGTTTTATATTGATTGCAACTCTGTCAGCTTGATGCCTGTGCTGACTTTCTGTGACACATGAAATGTATGTAAGTGATTAGTCCATTAGAGTAAGTGGTTATGAAATATCACACGCGAAAGAAAACAACGGCTAGTGATGTCCGCGATGACCGTGTGGGTAATAATGTCCACCCCCCTGTGGTTTTGGGTAATAATGTCCACCACCATGACCCTTAGATCCACCATGGTGACCGCGATCGGGTTCAGCCACTGCGACAGCCATAGCCACAGCAACGTAAAGTACAGCCAAAAGGAGCACGAGATATATCTGCAAGCAAAAAATCACTTTCTGTTACTAATGGCAGAAATAATTTATCTGATATAAAAATCAAATTGAAATTTGTGGTTGTTACAATGATTGAAGCAGTTCTTCCTGTGTTTAGCTAATTAAGCATTACGCCATGAAGGCGTAGGGGGAGTGGATGTATAGATCC